CATTCTCCTGCTATCCCCCTCCATCAGGCAGGGCCACAGAGACATTTGAACTACCATTCAAGTCCTTCAGGAGCTAGGATTCTCCATAAACCTAGCAAAAAGCTTTCTGACCGTAGACACTCGTATTCTTCATATGGGAGCTCTAATAGATTTTGTGCAGGGAAAAGTGTTCCTCTCAGCAGATCGATGGAACAGCCTACAGGAGCTGACCAAGACAATCCACCGCCGTTGCAAATCCCAACTTCTCCAGTTGTCTCATCTATTGGGGAAAATGGTGTCCTGCATCTCCATCATGCCATGGCCTCACCTCCACAGCTGTTGCCTGTAGTGGTACCTGTTACCATACCAGAAGATACATATCAGCTGCTCTCTGCAACAGGTTTGTCCCCCTCCACATGTGATAAAGTCCCTAGGGTGGTGGCTGTCACCAGCATTGACTCAGGGGACTCTCTTTTGAGAGCCGGTTTGCCTAACTCTCACCACAGATGCCAGCCTGATGGGGTGAGGGGCTCACCTCTAGTCAGGGATGATACAGGGACTGTGGTCACAAGCCAATCGAGCCAACACTATCAATTGGCTAGAACTGCGAGCCATCCATCTAGCCTTTTGACGGTTCCAGGTCACAGTGTGCAATACCCATGGCCTCATCCTCACAGACAATACCACCACAAAGGCACACATAAATTGGCAAGGGGGTACCAGGTCCAAACCGCTAATGAGGGAGATGTGGCTGTTGGGGCTTTGGGCGGAAGCCCACTTTCTCTCCCTCAGGGCGGAACACGTCTCGGGTGTTGACAATGTTCAGGCCGACTGGCTAAGTCGAACTCAAGTAGAACAAGGTGAATGGAACATCTCACGCAACCTTTTCCAGGAACTGTCCCGCAGATACAGGAGACCAGTACTTGACCTCTTTGCCACAAGGGAAAACGCCCGACTTCTGCAATACTTCACCAGGTATGCATCTCCGGGATCAGAGGGGGTGGACGCTGTGCGGTGCCTGTGGCCCCCGGGCCTTCTGTACACATTCC